GGCCCGAAACGTCAGCCTTCCTGCTCCTCTGATGCTGCTTGGCCTGCTGTGTTCATCCAGCTCTACACTTTGTTATTTCATGTCATTACAAGACTAGGTTCAGGGTGGGCTTGGGATTGGGTAAAAAAAAAATTGAAGGATGGAATCAGGCTGGAAAGTTATTGAACTCAGTGTTGAGTCTTGGAGGCCATAGGTCCCCAGGTGGAAAATGAGATGTTGTTCTTCGAGCTTATGCTGAGGCTCACTAGAACACTGCAGCAGCCCTGTGACAGAAATGTTGGCCAGGGAACACATCGATGTGTTGAAGTGGCAGGCAACTGGAAGCTCTGGGTCATTTTTGCAGAGAGAACATAGGTGTTATGCAAAATGGTTACCCTGTCTGCATTTAATCTCCGCATTGCAGGGGAGACCACATTGTGAGCAATGAATACAGTAGACTAGATTGAATGAAGTAAAGGTAAATCACTGCTTCACCTGGAAGTCTTGGCCCTTGGATGATGAGGAGGGAGGAGGTAAACGGGCAGGGTTACATCTTCTGAAATTTCATGGGCAGGTGCTCTGAGGATGTGGGGACTTATTGGGAATGGAGGAGGAGTGGACCAGCGCATCCTGCAGCGAATGGTCCTGCGCACTGCTGACAAAGGAGGGGAGGGAAATATATGACTGGTCGTGGCACCCTATTGGAGATGATGGAACTCGCAGCTTACAATCCTTTGGATGCAGAGGCTGATGAGAAGGTAAGTGAGGCCCAGAGAAACTTTCTTGTTGTGGGAGAGAAGGGAAAGGGTGAGGCCAGAAGTGCGGTAGATGGATCAGACACGGCTGAGGGTCCTATCAACCGTGGTGGTGGGAAATCCTCAGTTGTGAAAAAAAATGGTCATTTCTGAGGCCCCTCTGCGGAGACAGCATCATCAGAACAAATGAGATGGAGATGGAGAAATTAGGAGAATTGGATGGAGTCCTTGCAAGAAGAAGAGTGCGAGGATGTATAATAGAGGTATCTGTGGGAGTCATTGGGTTTGTAGCATATATCAATGGCTAACAGAAGCCCAGAAATGGAAACGGGGATATCAAGGAAGGGAATGGAGAGATCAGAAATGGACCAGGTGAAGATGAGGACACAGTGGAGATTGGAACCGAAATTGATACATTTTTCCGGTTCAGAACAAGAGAGGGAAGCAGCACTGATGATACCAACAATGTACTGCAGAAAGAGTTGTGGGAGAGACCCAAGTAGGAAAGGAACCAGGTATCTTCCACATAGCCCACAAAGAAACAGACGAAATTGGGGTCCATGTGGGTACCCATGGCCACACCTTTGATCTGAAGAAAGTGAGAGAAGTTAAAGGAGAAGTTGTTCGGTGTGAGGATGAGCTCAGCCAGGCAGAGGAGGGTGGTGGTGGATGGGGATGGTTCAGGCCTTTTTTTTTCCCGGGAAGAAGCAGACAGCCCTGGGCGCATCTATGGGGATGGACGTGTAAAGGGATTCCACTTCCATGGTGAAGAGGAGCTGGCTGGAGCCCATGAACTGGAAATTCTGAAACTGACGTAAAGTGTCAGAAGAATTGCAGATGTAAATGGGGAGGCACTGGGAGAGAAAACAGAGTCAGTTAGGAAGAAATAAGTTCCATGGGAAGGAGCAGGTAGAAACACTGGTTCTGCCCAGGTAGTTCTGATTGTGGAATTTGGGGAGAAGTTAGAAGGTGGTATGGGGTTGGGGGATTGAGCTGGGAGGCTGTCACACATAGATTCGCAGACGAGTAAAGATTGTGTCCAAAATTCTCACCAGTGTCCTAATGCTTGATGGTGGGGTCGTGGTCCAGGGGAGATCAGAGGAGGCTTTTAAGAGCAGGCATCCAGCCTTCATAATGTAGAGCTAAGTACACCAGACAACAACAGCAGTATCCTTGTTGTCAGGCCTGATGATAAAGTCGGGGTTGCATCTGAGAGCACTAAGTGCAGTCAGTTCAGAGGGAGATAGGTTCTAATGGATAAGGGGCACAAACAATGTCACAGCGTCAGTTCTCGATGAATGTGTCGAGTGGAGGTAAAAGGCTAGAGGGAGGGTGCAGGAGAAGGGAGAGTGATAAAGGCAGGTGAAGGCATCTAGGGAGAGAACTCCTGCCCAAAGACATAGACGCGGAGGTGACGGAAGAAGAGTTCAGCATGATGTTGTGCCTGAATATAATTGAAACAGGGCACAGAGGGATAAGACTAAGACTTTTTGCTGAGTACAGAATGTTCAGCAATTGAGAGCAGAAAGTCAGAAGAGATAGTAAATACTCAACAAGTGATGGAGTCAGGAGGAAAGATGGAGTCAGAGGGAAGCGAGGGGGACGAAGGTTCCAGAGGGGTGTGGGTATATCTGAGTTGTTCCAGCTTGTGTTCCTTAATGCCTGAAAGGAAACGATGTCAAGGAAGAGAAGGAAACATCAGGGAAAGACAATATCAAACTGGGAAGGGTGGAAATTGGAAGTAAAATTTAAGAAATTTCTCCAAATCGAGGTGACAACAGGACATGGCACACTATTTTATTATATATAGATGGGTTTTTTCCAGCTCGGTCAGGGTAGCCTTGAGGAGGAGTTCGTTGAGTGTATCCGTGATAGTTTTCTTGAACAGTATGTAAAGGAATCGACGAGGGAGCAAGCTATCCTAGATCTGGTCCTGTGTAATGAGACAGGAATAATTAATGACCTCATAGTTAGGGATCCTCTTGGAAGGAGTGATCACAGTATGGTTGAATTTAGAATACAGATGGAGAGTGTGAAGATAAAATCTAATACCAGGGTCCTGTGCTTGAACAAGGGGAGCTACAATAGAATGAGGGAGGACTTGGCTAAAGTAGACTGGAAACAAAGATTTTATGGTGGCACAGTTGACGAGCAGTGGAGGACTTTCAAAGCAATTTTTCAAAGTGCTCAGCAAAAGTATATTCCAGTGAAAAGGAAGGACTGTAAGAAAAGGGGTAATCTGCCATGAGTGTCTAAAGAAATAAGGGAGGCTATCAAATTGAAAGAGAAGGCATACAAAGTGGCCAAAAACAGCATGAAACTAGAAGATTGGGAAAACTTTAAAGGTCAACAGAAAGCCACAAAAAGAGCTATAAAGATAGAACATGAGAAAAAACTAGCACAGAATATAAAGACAGATAGCAAAAGTTTCTATAAATATATAAAACGAAAAAGAGTGGCTAAAGTAAACATTGGCCCTTTAGAGGATGAGAAGGGGAATTTAGTTATGGGATATGATGAAATGGCCAAGGCATTGAACAGGTATTTTGTATTGGTCTTCACAGTGGAGGACACTAATAACATGCCAGTAATAGACAAAGAGACGAAGGTAGGTGAAGACCTGGAAACAATCATTATTACGGAAGAGGTAGTGTTGGGCAAGCTAATGGCGCTAAGGATTGATAAGTCTCCTGGCCCTGATGGAATGCATCCCAGGGTACTAAAAGAGATGGCGGGAGAAATAGCAGGTGCACTGGCGGTAATTTTCCAAAATTCGCTGGACTCTGGGGCAGTCCCAGCAGATTGGAAAACAACAAATGTGATGCCACTGTTTAAAAAGGGAAGTAGACAAAAGATGGGGAATTATAGACCGGTTAGCTTAACCTCTGTAGTGGGGAAGATGCTTGAGTCTATTATCAAGGAAGAAATAGAAAGGCATCTTGATAGAAATTGTCCCGTTGGGCAGACGCAGCATGGGTTCATGAAGGGCAGGTCATGCTTGACAAATCTTTTGGAATTCTATGAAGACGTTACGAGCAAGGTGGACAATGGGGACCCAGTGGATGTGGTGTACCTAGATTTCCAAAAGACCTTCGACAAGGTGCCGCACAAGAGGCTACTGCATAAGATAAGGATGCATGGCGTTAAGGGTAAAGTATTAGCATGGATAGAGGATTGGTTGACTAACAGGAAGCAAAGAGTGGGGATAAATGAGTGCTATTCTAGCTGGCAGTCAGTGACTAGTGGTGTGCCTCAGGGATCGGTGTTGGGACCACAATTATTTACAATTTATATAGATGATTTGGAGTTGGGGACCATGTGTAGGGTGTCAAAGTTTGCAGATGACACTAAGATGAGTGGCAGAGCAAAGTGTGCCGAGGACTGTGAAACTTTGCAGAGGAACATAGATACATTGAGTGAATGGGCAAAGGTCTGGCAGATGGAATACAATGGAAATAAATGTGAAGTCATACATTTTGGTAGGAGTAATAGTAAAAAGGATTATTACTTAAATGGTAAAAAGTTGCAGCATACTGCTATGCAGAGGGACCTGGGTGTCCTTGTGCATGAATCACAGAAGGTAGGTCTGCAGGTACAACAAGTAATTAGGAAGGCAAATGGAATTTTGTCCTTCATTGCTAAAGGGATTGAAATTAAAAACAGAGAGGTTATGTTGCAGCTGTACAAGGTGCCGGTGAGGCCACACTTGGAGTACTATGTGCAGTTTTGGTCTCCTTACTTGAGAAAGGATGTACTGGCACTGGAGGGGGTGCAAAGGAGGTTCACTAGGTTGATTCCAGAGTTGAGGGGGTTGGCTTATGAGGAGAGACTGAGTAGATTGGGATTATATTCATTGGAATTCAGAAGATTGAGGGGGGATCTTATAGAAACATATAAAATTATGAAGGGAATAGATAAGATAGAAGTAGAGAGGATGTTTCCACTGGCAGGTGAATCTAGGACAAGAGGGCATAGCCTCAAGATTAGAGGAAGCAGATTTAGGACTGAATTGAGAAGGAACTTCTTCACCCAGAGAGTTGTTAATGTATGGAATTCCTTGCCCAATGAAGTAGTTGATGCTACTTCAGTAAACATTTTTAAAGATTAGGTAGATTTTTTTTGAACAATAAAGGAATTAAGGGATACGGTGAGAATGCGGGTAAGTGGATCTGAGTCCATGAAAAGATCAGTCATGATCTTATTGAATGGCGGAGCAAGCTCGAAGGGCCGGACGGCCTACTCCTGCTCCTAGTTCTTATGTTCTATGTTCTTATGTATGTAAAGAAATTAGCAAAATAGGCAAGATATTACAACTGGGCTGAAAAGAAAATTTGTAAGTTCTTACTGTTCTTGTGAACTGTTTAATTGTTCAGAATAATGACACTTGAGACTTGTAACAGTTTATGATGAAACTCCAGTGGACTCTAGCCGAAACCCATTAATATTACCTTATGTTGATGGAAAATCTTTACTCATTTCAAAAGAGCCTTCCAACTGTTATTGTTTGTCAAGTTATAAATTTAAACGACCATTGCACACTGGAATATAAAAGCAATGTGATGTTGTGGTGTAGGTAAGTCTGCTTTCATTTGGTTGTGTATCTACCTCTCCTCTCTGACTTTCTCTTCTCTCCAACTTTCTCTTCTCTCCCTTCCCCCACTAGCTCACTAGCAGTCTGTCTTTTGAAAGCATCATATTACTAAAGTTACAGTACTTACCCTCTATTGAAAACTTGATGTTACAGCAATGATTTCTGTGATGTGAAAATATCAAATACCAAGGAAAAAGTTTGGAAAAATAAAACAAATTGATTCCAGCAGGAAATAAGATCTGAGAAAACCTGCAGGCTGCCTCATTAAATTCTTTATTATGGATTTGGAAAACAATGTCACGTGTAGAATAAGATGAAGCGAGGCAAAAGTAACTTGGGGATGTTCAAGGGAAATAGAAATTTAGACAGTGCAAAAATTTAAGCAAGAACTGCAGAACACATTACAATTAGAGAGTGGGGAACAGAAATACTGGCAGTTTTTTTTTTAATAATCCCTGATTGGGAAACTAATACAGGGCTGTTAGTTCTATAATCAGTTTAAGGAAGCTCATGAGTGGTTTGGAAGAGCGCTGTCTTCTGAGACTTGATCCCATGCATTTGGGTGTATTTTGGTATCATACTGACAGAGTGCTGCACTTTTGTAAACGCCACCTTTGCATAAGATTAAACCAAGGGTCCTGCCGGCCGATTCTGTGGTTGCAAAGTATGCTAGGGTAGTATTTGAAAAGGGCAAGAGTACTCCATCAAGGCCTGGTTAATGTTTATTCCTGACCGTCAATATTATTTATTTAATTGCTGTTCGCAAGAACTTGCTGTGTACACATTGGCTGTCACATTTCCCACACAGCACCACCGACTAGGCTTTGAAGAACTTTGAGGAATGTTTTGATGTAGTGAAAATATATGCAAGTATATAAATGCAAATATTTCTCTATAGATGCAATGCATATGAACATTAACAGAAATTGCTGGAGAATCTCAGCAGGTCTGGCAGCACCTATGGGAAGAAAACAGAGTTAATGTTTCAAGTCCAGTGACCCTTCTTCAGAACTGATAGAAGCTTGGAAAAGGTGGCATTTATGCTGATGACTGGGTTTAGGGGTTGGGGGAGTGGGAGGGGGGATAAGTAAGTGGATAGATGCCAAAGAGAGAGAAAGAAAGTTAGGCAGAAAAGGGGCTTGTTGATAGCCAGACAGGGAAGAAGAAAAGTTGGATCATGGGAACCATGAGTAAGTGCAAATGAATTGGCTGTGCTGTATGCAGCCCATATCATGACAGGGCCTGGGGTGTCGAGATGTGTAAAGGAAGTGGGAGAAGGTGTTCAGGCCATAAAATTATTGAACTCCATATTGTCCTGAAGGCCTCAGGGTCCCCAAGCCATGGTCCTCATGAGATGCTGTTCTTCCAGCTTGTGCTAAGCCTTGCTGGATCATTGCAGCAGGCATGAGACAGAAACGTTGGTCAGGAGATAAGGTGGTGTGTTGACCCAGCAGGCAACTAGAAGCTCGGGATTATTCTTATTGACAGACGGACAGGTGTTCTGCAAAATATTCACTCAGTCCGTGTTTCATCTCCCCAGTGTTTTGTTTTATTATATATGAACATTTCTGGTTCATGGATAGTTGGTAGTATAAAACTATCTTCACTGGCTCAGTAGGTTGCCCCAGTGATGGGCCTTTCAGTGTCATAAAGTGAAATGTTGCAGAACTTTTGCCGGATCTGTTGCCTGAGTCATATGTGAAATGAATTGAGTTTGACAAGTTGTACTTTTCTCCAGCCAATTTAATAAGTGGCTTGATCTTTTTGCGTATCAAGTCATTCAGTTCAGATTAGAAGTTAAAATAAAAATAGACACTGCTGGAGAAACTCAGCAGGTCAGTCGGCACCTGTAGAGAGAGAAGCAGAGTTAACGATTTGAGTCCAGTGTGACTTTTCTTTGGAATTTACTTTGCTTTTGTTGAGTAATGTGGTTGTTTATTTCAACGCCCAGTCCAGAGACCCAAGTACCAAGTGCTTGCTATGTCCAGTGCCAATACTGACTGAGTGCTGCATTGACAGAGCTGTCAGTCTTTGTGTAAGATGTTGAAATTGAGACCTCGTCTGACCCCTCAGTTGGGTGCAGCAGGTGGCAAATGCCTCAGAACTAGCAGATTTATTCAGTCTATGGATTGCACATTTTTGGAGTTTTCATCTACAATTTTGTCTTTTTGTGGCTTGCAGCTTTCATCAATACCTGGACTGGAAGATGTCAAACTAGAGACAACGAATCAGGATCAGAGTTATGCAAATGGCCCATCCTCCATGACAGCAACAAACCAGCATCAGCCACCACCTCCTGAGGTAAAAATGAGATTATTTGTTGGATGAAGAACCTGTGAGAGTTGAGGAGAATTCATATTTTAATGCTGAGAGTTATGATGATCTGGAGTGTAATTCACGAAAAAGTAGTCAAAGCCGATTCAGTCATTTACTTTCAAAAAGGAATTGGGTAATTGGTTAAAAAGAAACAGTCTGCTGGGTTATGGGGAAAGAATAGGTGAGTGGAGTTAATTAAATAATTCTTTCAAAGTAACACCACAGGTATAATGGACTGAACATTCCTCAACTATGCTATTTGATTCAGTGGACACAAGGAATTCTAAAATTTTGCTGGAATCATATTAGGCAGTTTGCAAACAACAGCTCAACTGTATTGTGGAGGGAATTGTCCAAAATAGGCAGGTCTCAAACAATATACAAGTAGGCAATTGGATAACGCAGTTGGAGGTAACCGTTGGGAAGCTAGGTTAACAACATCCATGTTGCAACATCACAGCCCTTGCCTACAATATCCAAATGCACTGAGAATTCAAGCTGATTAAAACAAAACCCTGTTGCCTTCTGTGTTGTGCCATGGATACCCAAGTGACAGCCTGTGGCTTATAACAAATATTCACATGCTGCAAATAAACTGCTCAAAACCCAACCAATCCTTTTAATTTTCAGGATGAAGAGGGCAACATTTACTGCTCAGCCTTAATTTGAGAGGGTTTTTGGCGGGCCTTCTGTTTGAACTGCTGCAGTTTGTGTGTCCGGGCTGTGACCTCTGGTGCATTAGATAAAGAGGTCCATGAAATTGGCCCAGTAATAGTGAAGCAATAAAAACCAAAAGAACTGCGGGTGCTGTAAATCGGGAACAAAAACAGAAGTTGTTGGAAAAGCCCAGCAGGACTGGCAGCATCTGTGAAGAGAAATCAGAGTTAACGTTTTGGGTCCTGTGATGTTTCCTCAGAACTGATGGTAACTAGGAAAATGCCGGTTTATATGCAGAAGACAGCGTTGGTGGAGGGGGTAAGGAGTAAACAATAGGTGGGCATAGAGCCCAAAAAGAGAGAAGAACAGTTGGACAGACAAAGGAGTTGATAACGATCTGGCTAGGAATGTGGATGCTGTTAATGGACACTGCTAACGGCTAACAATAGGTAGTGTGTAATGGCAGGCTATGTAATAACAAGGGGTAGGGGGCCAGGACCTGGGAGAGTTCAGGCCCTAAAATTATTGAACTCGATATTTATTCCAGAGGGCTGCAGGGTCCCCAAGCGGAAAATGAGGTATTCTTTCATCTTGCGCTGAGCTTTGCTGGAACACCGCAACAAGCCTGAGACAGAGACATTGACCAGGGAACAGGGTGGTGTGTGAAAGTGACAGGCAATAGGTAGCTCAGGGTCTTTATTGCGGGCAGAACGTAGATGTTCTGCAAACCGGTCACCCAGTCTGTGCTTCGTTTCCCCAAAGTAGAGGAGACCACATTGTGATCAGCAAATGCAGTAGGCTAGATTGTGGGAAGTACAAGTGAAATGCTGCTTTACCTGGAAGGTATATGTGTGGGCTTTTGGATACTGAGGAGGGAGGAGGTAAATGGGCAGGTGTTACACCTTCACCAATTGCAGGGGAAGGTGCCGTGGGGCTGTGAGGGGATGTTGGGAGTGAAAGAGGAGTAGACCAGGTGCTGCGGGGGTATGTTGGGAGTGAAAGAGGAGTGGACCAGGGTGTCCTGGAGGGAATTGTCCCTGCTCTAGGCATTCAAGGGAGGGAAGGTAGATGCGTGTCTGGTGGTGGCATCTCGCTGGAGGTGGCAGAAATGGCATCTGATGATCTTTTGGATGTGGATGATGGTCGGATGGTTGGTAAGGACAAGGGAACCCTATTGCTGTTGCAGGAGGGAGGAGATGGACTGAGGTCAGAAGTGCGGGAGATGGGTCAGACCCAGTTGAGGGCCCTGTTGACAATGGTTCTGAGGAATCCTCAGTTGAGGAAGAAGGTGGACGTTTCGGAGGCCCCCTTGTTGAAGTTGGCCTCATCAGAACAGGTGTGACGGAGATGGAGCTACTGAGAGAATGGGATGGAGCCTTTACAGGAAGCAGGTTGCGAGGATGTATAGTCCAGGTAGCTATGGGAGTCAGTGGGTTCATAATGGATATTAGTGGCTAGTCTATTCCCAGAAATGGAAACAGAGATGTCGAACAAGGAAGGGAGGAGTCAGAGATAGACCAGGTGAAAGTGAGGGCAAGGTGGAAATTGGAAGCGAAACTGATGAACTTTTCCAATTCCGGACAAGAGAAGGAGGCAGCGCCAATGATATCATCGATATGTCTGAGAAAGAGTTGTGGGTGGGGGCCAGAATGGGACTAGAACAAGGAATGTTCCACATACCCCCACAAAGAAACAAACGAAACTGGGTACCCATTGCCACCCCTCTGACCTGAAGAAAATGAGAGGAATTAAAAGAGAAGTTGTTGAGGGTGAGGACGAGCTTGGCCAAGCGGAGGAGGCTGGTGGTGTGTGGGGACGGTTCAGACCTTTGTTCCAGTAAGAAGCAGAGAGCCCTGAGACCATCCTGATGGGGAATGGATGTGTAAAGAAATGTGGTAAAGAGGAGGTGGCTGGAACCAGCAAACTGGAAATTCTGAAACTGATGTAAAGTGTCAGAGGAGTCACGGATGTTCGTGGGCAGGGACTGGACCGGGGAGGAAAGGCTGAGTCAAGGTAGGAGAAGATGAGATGTGTGGGCCAGGAGCAGGCTGAAACAATGAGTCTGCCTGGACAGTCCTGTTTGTGGATTTTCAGAAGGAGGTAGAAATGAGCTGTGTGGGGCTGGGGGACTATCAGCTTGGAGGCAGTGGTGGGGAGATCACCAGATGAAATGAGGTCAGTTACTGTAGTTGATACAATGGCCTGATGTGTCATGGTGGGATCATGGTTCAGGGGAGGATAGGAGGAGGTATCTGAGACCTGGCGCTCAACCTCTGTGATGTAGAGGTCAGTATGCCAGATTACGCCAGCACCTTTCTGATGGGCAGGCTTAATAGCAAAGTCAGGATTGGATCTGAGTGCACGGAGTGCTGTCAGTTTGAAGGCAGATAGGTTGGATTTGGTGAGGTGGGGCAGCGAAATTGAGGCGACTAATGTCACGGCAACACTTCTCAATTAACAGATCGAGTGCTGGTGAAAGGCCAGAGGAAGGGGTCCAGGTGGAGGGAAAGTGTTGGAACTGGGCGATAGGGTCTGTGGGACAGGGAGATGACTCTTGTCTGAAGGAATGGGCATGGAGGCGAAGACAGCGGAAGAAGGGGCCAACGTCACGTCGTGCCTGAAATTTGTTAAGGTGGGGCAGCAGAGGGACAAAGCTGAGACCTTTGCTGAGTACAGAACGTTCAGCATCCGAGAGCAGAAGGTTAGGAGAGATGGTGAATACCGACAGGAGGTGGGGTTAGGAGAGGGGATGGTCAGAGGAAAGGGGAAGGGAGGAAGGTACTATACTAGAGGACCATGGGTATCCCTGAGTTGTTGCATCTTGTGGGCCTTGGTGTCTGAAAGGAAAAGGAAACGTTTCTTGTTAGCACAGCAAATGAGCTGGAGGATGAAGTTGAACTGCGGAGTGGTGCAGCCCTGAGCCAGTGTGATGCGATAGTGAAGCAATGACAGATCATATATCTCTGTGACTGGTGCTCCCACCACATTGCTGCTGCTGTCCTTATTGATGATGGAGGTCACTGGAGAGGAAATTGGTGTTGAAGTGAACTTGGTAAGTTGCTGTGCTCATTCTGTGAATTGTCTCCACATAAGGTCACGATGTGCTGATAGAACAGGTTGCAATTGTGTTCTGTGGCAGAGAAACTAAGCAAGCAAATGCTGTCACATGAGCAGTGGTCCTCTGAACCCATTCAGGCCAGTGTTGAGTATTCCATTGTGACTCTTTAATAATTCATTATTGAAATAGGAATTATTGCTAATTTACTGCTAATTGCCCTTGAGAACGTGGTGAATATTGTCTCGAACTGCTGAACTCTATGGTGAAGGTGCTCCCACAAAGCTGCTCTTGGGTAGGAATTTCCTGGTTTTACACCCAGCAACTTAAGCCTTGCAAGTGATGGAGAATCTTTGGAGAGATTGGGAAGTGAGCAGTTTAAGGTAACTCAAACTCCAATCTGTTATACAACCATTGTGTTAATCCAGTGATGGACAACTTATGTTCAGCAGTGGATGACTTGGTCATAGAGCTGCCATTGAAGATTGGAGGAGATGGCCTTGAATTTATCTTTCTTCATCATCGTGGTCATTAGCCCAGAACTTGTTCAGCCTGAGTGTCAACTCTAAATTGTCAACTTTAGCTTGGAAAAAGCCCAGGTCAAGTTATGTCTTGGTGTGTATCCTGGATACTGGCTCAAATTCCCAGAACCAGCCCTGAAGCAATAGTGCAAATAAACTTTAAGATCTGATTTTAAGTGAAAAACAGTTGAACCTGGCCTCTATGTTGGCAGTCTGCACTTGTGTTAAGGTAAGATGCATTTGCAGTAAAACACCAGGAGTAAACTCTGAGAATCTGATTTAAAGACCAGTACCGTCCCACCCTATGCATCCTAATCAAACAGGCGTTATTGCAGTCATTATCAGCAATGCACAAATTACATCTCTGCACTGAAGGACTATTTTAAAAAGTCTTATTTTAAGGGCATGGAAGTATTTTAAACTCCTATTTTATTTTTAATACCATATTATGCAATTATTGGTGTGCTGACCTTTTGCAATGTAATTAAGTTTTTGTCCTGTTGCACAATTAGAAGCAGATGACTATACATAAATATAAATAAAATTAGGAATTACATTAGACATTCAAATTAAAAATGAAGCAAGTCAAAGGATGACTTCATGTGGAAAATGTGCTGTAATAGGAGTTCTGAACTGGAGGATGTCTCATTGGGAATGGTGGATTATGACAGGAATCTGTGGTATTCCCTAATGCTAGATTTGGTAGACGCATCTCATGGAAGAACTTTGAACATCGCTGAAAAAGCATCGCA